CATTATCTTGCATTTATTAGTTAAAACCCATCTGCCATTTATTTGCCCAACTCACTAAATTATCTAAATAATTTTGTAAATCCTCTTCACAGCTAGCAAAGCCCTAGACCATAATATCATCTGCAAATTTAAGTAACTTATTGACTATTCCTTCATCTATGTCATTGATGTAAATCAAAAAGAGCAAAGGTCCTAAGACTGAGCCCTGAGGTATCCCACTTATGACATGAATCCAGTTTGAACTCCATTTATAACAACCCTCTGCTTTCTTCCATCCAGCCACTTTTCTATCCAACTTGATAACTTATCCCCCACACCTCTAGAGATGATTTTTTACAAGCCTTTTATGTGGCACCTTTGAAAAAGTTACTACTTATGTAGATGAGGGTGAGGGTGTACATTTGATGTATCTGGATTTTCAGAAAGCATTTGACAAGGTAATATTTTCCCTTAGTGAAACCATGTTGACTATCCAATAAAATTTTAAACTTTGTTAAATGACTTTGCAAAGCATCTTTTAACAGACTTTCCAAACCTTTACCCACAACTGATGTAAGACTAATGAATCTAAAATTACTGGGACAATTTTTATCACCTCCCTTGAAAAGAGGAGTTACATTAGCTAACTTCTGATCCTCTGGTACCTGCCCACTATTCAATGACCGATAAAAAAGAACAGTAGTAAGTGGCTCACATATCTAATCTTTAATCTCCTTCAAAACCTTTGGGGAAATATTATCTGGCCCAGGAGCCTTATTTTTTAAAGTTCCCAATTTTTTCTTAACTAGCCCAGAATTAATGCAGTCATCTTGTTTGATCCCATTTCTATTTATCAACTGCATCATTTGTCCAGGGTTCTACCTCCATCCTAAAATTTTGTTTACCCTTAATGTATTTAAAGAAATCCTTACTTTTAAATTTTTACATTTTTAGCCAACCTTTTCTCGTACATCTTTTTTGATGTCCTAATTTCCTGTTTCACCAACTTTCTTGATCTTCTAAATCTCCTGTCATACCATGTTTTTCTTTAATTTTATCCTTAAATTCTTTGTGAGCCAACCTGTTTTTTTACTTGCAGCTACCATTTTCTTTCTATAAGGAATATGTTTATCTTGAATATTTAAACATTTATCTTTAAAAATTTTCCATATCTGATCTGTGTCTCAGTTGCCCAATTCACAACAGATAATTGTTGTCACATCCTTTCAAAATTTGCTTTTTTGAAATTTGTAACCAAAATATCATTATTCCTTATCTCCATATGCAGCAAAACATTGAACCTAATAGAGGTTTTTTTTGAAATTTGTATATCAGTGACCACATTCACATTTAAACAGTATTATATGATATTGAAAATTAAGTTAATTTTGCATATGGAGTAATTACACTGTTATCCAGGTTTGGTGGACAAATTGTTTAAATGAAGATCAATCTAAAGTTTGGATGAGATATCAAATGTTTTAGTTTATTGAAATGTTTAATACAAATACCAAGCATAAGTAAGTGTAATTATTATCAAGTATTACTGTTGACTGTACTTTGTAGAAGAACATGTAAAAACAAAAAAGATGCATGAAATAAGGTCATTAGTAATTTGTTAAGAGAATAATGATCAGATTCAATGGTCGAGAACCTGTGTCACCACAGGGATTAATAATAAGTAAAATTAATAGCAAGAGTTATTAATTTGAATAACTTTGTATATAATGATACTCCTTTATTAGTTAAAAATTTTTAATTCAGTATAAACCTCTATAATTACATCTAGCTCTTGCAAAAAAATGTA